TTTCCTTTCCTTTCCTTTCTTTTCTTTCTTTCTTGCTTTTTCTTTACTGAGGATCAAGGCTAGGGCCTGTGTATCCTAGGCATACGTTCTACCACTGAGCTACACCCCTAGCCTATCCTTCCTTTTCAAGGCTAATAATACTCTGTAGTGTGTGCTTGTACATGTATGTGTGTGTTACTCATCACCAACTGGGAGACTCCCTGGGTTTCTTCCACCTCTTGGCTGTTAAGACCAAAAGCACACATGTACAAATACCTGTTTCAGATCTTGCCTTCAATCTTTTGAATATACGCAGAATTAGAACATTGGGTCATAGTATGCAACAGTTAATCTTGATTGTCAACTTGGTTGGTTTGAGAGCTGTCTGGGAGATTGGTAAAGTGCACTTCCGGGTACGTTTGGGAGGGTCTTGGGGGGTGATCGTGGGGATTACACCTGGGCACCTTCCCCTCTGGCTCCTCCCTCTCCTCTGAGTTGTAGGAACTGAGCAGCTTTCCTGTCAATGTCTTGGAGCCAGCTTGCCATGGAGCGAACTCCACAACCACGAACCAAAATAAATCGCTTTTTCCTTGAAGTTGTGTGTGTATATTTCGTTTGGTTTTGCTTCTGTCTTTTTGAAACAGGTTCTCACTCACTCTGCAGTTCAGGCTGGCCCTGAACTCACTTTAAGGCCCAGGCTGGCCTTAAACTCACAGTGATCCCCCTGCCTCAGCCTCCTGGGCACTGGGATTACAGGTGTGCAGCAACATGCCTGACCATGTGTGCATTTCGTGCTGGCAACACAAGAGTTAACTAACAATAATACGGTAACTCTGTCTGTAATTTATTGAAGAGTCCTTTTTTATGATTAAATTTTTTTTAATGATTTAAAATTAGATTAATATTTTATTTGAAGAGTACTTTTTTTTTTTTTAAATTTTTATTTATTTATTTATTTGAGAGAGAGAGAGAGAGAGAGAGAGTGTGTGTGGCCAGCTCAGCCCACCAGGGGGCAGGGCTGGCTGGCATGTGGTGCTGGGGGATTGAACCGCGGTCCCTGATGCTTTTGCTAAGCTTGTTCTAAGTAGGTGCTCCAGACCACTGAGCCATCTCTCCAGCCCCCTGAAGAGTACTTTTTAATACCTCTATTTCTTACAGACTAACCACATATCTGCTAACATAAAGGCATCTCGAAGACTTTATTCCTATTGTGAACAATCCTACAATTAACATTTTTAGGATAGGCATGTATTTGCATAAATGTACATGTGCTTGTGAGGGAAGGTTCCTACAAAAGGGAATGTTGGGTCAGTGATGTATACATCTGCCCAGGGTGTTGGTGTGCGACTGTAGTTCCAGCTACTTGGGAGGCTGAGGCAGGAGGAGTGCTGGACCCCAGTAGTCCAGGAACAATCTAGACAACATAGTGACACCACGTCTTGAAAAAATAATTAAGGCTGGGGAGATAGCTCCACAGCATTAGTGCCTGCCTGGCAAGCACACGGTGTGGAGTTTGATCGCTGGTTAAAAAAAAAAAAACAAAAAACAATGAAAATGAACAAGAAAAATTTAAAATAAGTACATTTGAAATGTAGGAGGTGAGCTGGGGAGATAGCTCGGCAATCTAAGCACGTGCCTGGCAAGTGCAAAGACCTGCGTTTGATCCCTGATATTGATATAGGGAATGAAATTCCCAACCTGGCCTGAATGAGTTCATGTTCTCTAAAACCGAAGAATGAATTTTAGGAACAAACGGAGGTTGAGGGTAAAACTTTATTGGAAAGGAAAGCTTCTGTCGGAGAGGGACAGAAGGGGGTCCCGAGCGGGTTGCCCAGGAAGCTGTCTCTTTCAGGTTATTTTTATGGGACAAAACCATGAGGGGCTAAAGTAGAGACAAAGGGGTCTCACTTAGGTGGATACAGGGTGGGACAAAACTATGGTCAACCAATGGGATTACAAGTGCCATTGCTCAGGTAAAATTTATTAGGCCTAGGACCAAATGGGGTAGTGAGTCATGTAGCAAGCGGGCGACTTCATCTGGTGGCCTTCAGTCGATGATTCTTCCTGACTAATGAGCCATCCTGGATGCCAACTTTAGGGAGTCAGCATTTGTTTGATCTTTAGGTCTGGCTCACACCAGGAGCATCTCCCTAGTAAGGTGTTTGGTCTTTGTCATCCCCTTCGAGGGCCTGACCCTGTCTAACTACCTACAATATTTCTATCTAACTCAGGCTGCCTGCAACAATATCACATGCTATGCCAGCCACTGGGGGTGGGGGAATGGTGACGCACACTTGTAATCCAGCACTGGGGAGGCTGAAACAGGAGGATCACTATGAGCCCGAGCTGCATAGTGAGAGCCTGTACCAAATTAATTAATTAATTAATTAATTACAAAATGTAAGCGCTGCTGTCGATTCACATTCTTTTGTTGCTCACAGAGCTTTATTAGTTCTCATTTTTGTAATTACTACTATCACATGAATAAATAACCAGAACTTTAAAAAACCAAACAAACACGTAACAGTGTCAGATAGCCTTCCAACACATTTTGTTCTGTTCTGGAGACAGACTCTGGTTATGTCTCGCAGACTGACCTCAAGCTTGTCATCCTCTTGCCTCAGGTTTTTTCTTTTTTATTTATTTATTTATTTATTTTATTTAGTGTGTGTGTGTGTGTGTGTGTGTGTGTGTGGCCAGCTCAGCCCACCAGGGGGCGGGGCTGGCTGGCATGTGGTGCTGGGGGATTGAACCCCCGTCCCTGTGCTTTGCTAAGCTTGTTCTAAGTAGGTGCTTTAGACCACTGAGCCATCTCACCAGCCCTTTTTTTTTTTTTTTTTTGGTGGAACCGGGGATTGAACTCAGACCCTTGTGCTTGCCAGGGAAGCGCTTATTCTACTGAGCCATCTCCCCGGCCCCATTGCCTCCGCTTTCACAGTGGTAAAACCACGGCATGCACCCCTTTACCTGGTAGGCAACAGCAACAGATATTTTTCCTTGCTTCTTTCTCTCCTTTCTTGTTTCTTTCTTTCTTTCTTTTTTTACTTTTTCAGAACTGGAGATTGAACTCAGGCCCTTGAGCTTGTCATCTTTCTCTCCTTTCTTTCCTATACTACTGAAGATTGAACCCAAGGCCTCCACACGGAGCTGCATCTAGGTCTTTTTCTTTCTTACCTTTTATTTTGGGACAGGGTTTCACTAAGTCTCTAAGTTGTCAGATCATCCAGGCTGAGCTCAAACTTGCGATCCTCCTGCCTCAGCCTCCCAGAAGGCCCAGCATACATTTTTATCATCAGAGTACTCAACTGTGTTTCCCTTCATGCCATCCGGCTCTTAATATTATCAATCTTTTACATTTTGTCAACATGACAGTTGTAAGTTTCTGTTTTAACTTCCAGCAAACGTTTGTTCTCCAGGGAGGGAATGGAGATTTTTACACGGTCGGAGTTATATGACTATTTCGGTGCTTACTACAGAGGTAGAACCTCTTTTCAATCCTCTGAGGTTGTCTTCTTGGATTCTTTGCCCACAGCCACTGTCAGGGCTTCCTGTGCCTGTCCCTCAAGCTGCCTCTGCGACCATTGCCCTTTATAGAATTTTGGGGTTGAAAAGGCTTTCTGCTGGAACCCTGCAGACAATGTTCCGCCACCTCTCAGAATCCATGGTTACCACTGGGAAGCTCCACGCCATGCTGGCTCCTGACCCTTAGTATGTGGCCTGTTCTTTTCTATCTGGAAAGGTTTCTGGGTCCCCACCTTGCCCCTGATATTCTCGAAGTTCCCAAGGGGCCCCTTGGGGAGCCTCTCTATAGGCCTTGTGCCTGAGTATTTCAGTATTTCAGTGTTTTATGTGTTTTTCACTTTTTTTTTGCGGGGGGGGAGGGGGGCAGAATCAGGGATTGGCCCTTGCGCTTGCCAGGGAAGCGCTTATTCCACTGAGCCATCTCCCTGGCCCTTTCCCTTTTTTTTTTTTTAAGTAATTTTTCTGGGTAGTGTTTATTTTATTTATTTATTTATTTATTTTTTCGGAACCGGGGATTGAACTCAGGCCCTTGCGCTTGCCAGGGAAGCGCTTATTCCACTGAGCCATCTCCCCGGCCACATGTTTTTCATTTTTAAAATAATGTCTTCAATTTGATGTGGTGGTGCACACCTGTAATCCCACCCTCGGGGGGCTGAGGCAGGAGGATCACTGTGAGCTCAAGGGCAGCCTGGGCTACCTAGCAAGACTCTGTCTCCAAAGGAAAGAAAAGTAATATAATTTCTTTTTGTTTGTTCTCTCTTTCCGAGCTTTTTGTTTAAATTCCTGTATTGATCCCCTGTGTCTCTCTCCTTTCCTTCTCTTGCCTTGCTTCCCTTGATTTCAATTTCTATTGGATGTTTAATTTCACTCTCATAAATATTTATTTATTATTTTTCATTTATGCATTTGATACAGGGTCTCACTACCCAGCTTGGACTCATAGTGATCCTCCTGTTTTCAGCCTCCCAAGTGCTGGGATTACAGGTGTGCACCACCACGCCTGGACTTGCTTGCTGGCTCAGTGCGCTTCGGGGTGGGGCTGGCTTGGCATGTGGGACCAGGGATTGAACCCTGGCCCCTGTGCTTGCCAAAGTAGGCACTTACTCTGCTGAGTTATCTCAGCACCTCCCTTTTATTTTGCAGGGTTTTCTTGCATTTTCTGTTTTCTCCGTTTCCTTTGAAGGGTGCCCATCAGGGCAGCATGGAAGTGTACAATAGTGGCCAGGGGCCCAGGATAGGGTTGCACATGCCTGTAATGCCAGCACCTGGGGAGGCTGAAGCAGTAAGACTAGAAATTCCAGACCAGCCTGGGCAATTTAGTGATGTATGGAGACCCTGTCTCAAAAAACAAAAAGTGCTGGGGTGGTAGCTCTGCACAGAGGCCCTGGGTTCAGTCCCCAGTGTGTGGAGGCGAGCTGGGGAACAACGTGGCCTGGGCTCCTCACTGTGCCTCCCCTCCTCCCGAGGCAGCCTCTGAATTCCTCATGGCATCTCCAGTTTGGATTCTGGCGCTGCTGCTGGGGGCTGCCTGGAACCAGTGCCATGTGTCCGCTCCTGCAGGGTAAGCTGGGCCCAGTGGGGAGTCTAGACCAGGGGCAGAGGGCACAGGTGGGCAAGGAAAAACAGGCCTGGAGTAGGAGGCCAGAGCTCGATGGGAGGTGGCGAGGCTGACTTTTTACAGAGGGTCACCGCACAGCCCCAGATCTAGCACTGAGGACACATGGAGCACAGAGGTAGGTGAGGGGGACAGAGGTCGGGCACTGCAAAGGTGAGACTTCAGGCAGGAGGCAACAAGAAAAGATGGATGAAGCCAGGCACATGCCTGTGAACCAACACTCCTGGAGGCTGAGGCAGGAGATCGTAAGGTCCAGCCCTGCCTGGGCAACTTATTGACTTATTGAGACCCTGCCTCAGAATGAAAAATAAAAAGGGCTGGCGATGTAGCTCAGTGCAAAGGCCCTGGGTTTAATCCCCAGTACTGCAAAAACAAACAAAACAATCCCACAAATGACAGATGATGGCCTTGTGGCCTGGAGGCTGGGTGGAGGGGATTTGAATGAGTAGAATTTGAACCAAAAAAAAATAAATAAAGCATCCTTCTAGGCCACCCTCACTGGCCACGCAAGGGCAGGGGCTTCTCTGTGAAGTCTGCAGGGTAAACAGAGAGGGCAGGGTCAGCTTCGCTGCCCACGGAGATGTTCGGTTGGGTGTGGCAGAGAACTGGGGGCCCAGAAAGTCCCTATACACAGGCAAAAGCTTGGGCTTCTCTATAAAAGACCTCAACTTGAAGGACAGAGACACCCCCAGGGAAACTGAGGCAGGAAAGGAGAATTCCCATTCACAGGGAACCAGTGCCACCTGGGCTGAGTTACAGCAGGTAGGACATGTGGGGGAGGAAGCCAGTACGGGTGGAGGGGTGGGGAGGGACCCGTTTTAGGAAACTGTAAGAACCTCAGGTGAGGAGGCTGTGTGTGGCCTTCCCCAAAACGTAGAAGACAGGCAGTTTACATTCGCTGCTCAAACACTAAAGAGGAGAAAAAAGAAAAAAGCGCCAGTAAGCCAGCCCTCCACGGTTCATGATTGCATTTTAGAATTCTTGATAGTGACATGAGTGATGTTTGTGCTTTCTCCAGACCAGACCCAAGCATACGGACCCCACCGGACTGGGAATCGTTTGCTCCGAGTTCAGAGGACAGCTGTGAGTTGGGACTCTGGCCCGTTGGGCCTTCTCTTTCTCCTCAGGACCCCTCATGCCAGTCCCTAGCCCAGGGTGGCCTCGTAGGTCCCTGTGGGGCAGGGCAATGACATAAACATGGAATAAATGTGCAAAGGTCAGCCCTTGGCCAACAGAGGGTGGAGAGAACACTAGAGAAGCAGAGACGTGGGAAGTTAAGGCCTGACGACGGCAGCCTCCAGCGCAGCCTAAGTACCTTGGCGAGGTTCTTTAAATGAATGAATGAATGAATGAATGAATGAATGAATGAATGAATAAATAAATGGGCTGGGGACCCAGCTCAGGGCAAAAGTCTAAAATTCAATCCCCAAGGGCCGGCCACATAGTTCAGCAGACTAAAGCACCTGCTTAGGCACAGCACAGCGGCCAGGGTTCAATCCCCAGCTTGCCGTGCTGGCCTGCCCCTGGGGCACGCTAAGACAGGGATTGAGACTGGGCGTGGTGGTGTGTGTGCCTATAATCCCAGTGCTTGGGAGGCTGAAAACAGGAGAAGCACTCTGAGTCTGATCTGTGTAGTGAGACCCTGTAGACCCTGTACCAAATATATTAAAAAATAAATAAATGAAATGAAATTCAATCTCAGTATTGGGGGGAAATTTGTGATTCAGAGCAGAGATTTGGGAGGCATACTCTTGGAAGAGGAATTTACAGATGGGGGAGTGGGGTAGGCAGAGTCACAAGGTTAGGCGGACCGTTCATTTTTTATTTTGAGACAAATTCTTGCTAACTTAGCAGTTAATTTGTCTAGGCTGGGTGAATTTGCCATCTTCCTTCTTGCTGGGATTACAGGTGTGCCAGGTTGGACATGGGGTCCAGATTTTAGTGGTGAGGGCCACCCAGCCCAGCACTCATGGCCGGCCTGCCCTCTGTCCTCTCCTGGCCCTCACCACTGCGCTTTCTCCCAGCCGTCCTTGCCCAGTGTGATTTTGAGGATGACACCAAGCCCCTCTGTGACTGGTCCCAAGTGTCGGCAGATGATGGCGACTGGGTCCGAACCAGTGGACTCTCCCCAACTGGCACCTCTGGCCCCCCTGGGGGGTACCCCAATGGAGGTAAGGGGTCAGGAGACCCTGGAAAGAGGGAGGATGGATGGGTGAGGGCTGCTGGGAGTGGACCTGGGCCCTGAGCTGGGGTGGATGCTGCAGCCAGGGGGAAGGGGAGGACCAATGCATTGGCAGCATCCTGATTCAGCTTTCCCCAGAGGGCCACTACCTGCGCATGGAGTCGGGCCGCTTCCCCCGGGGTGGTGTGGCACGCTTGCTCAGTCCGGCGCTGTGGGAGGCCGGCCCGATGTGCCTGCGCTTTGCCTACCACATGTTTGGGCTATCGTGGGGCGCGCAGCTCCGGCTGCTGCTGCTCCCCGGCACGCAGGGCACCCGGCCCACTGTGCTCTGGAAACTGGAGAACACCCAGAGCCCCTCCTGGGTGCCCACCGCTGTCACCATCCCTGCGGAGCTCACCCCGCCCAGCCAGGTGAGGCGCTGTGTGCAGATGCCCCTGCATCCATGGGGGTTGGGGGTGAGGGTGTCTGTGACAAGGACCGGACTGGCACGGGCAACAGAGGCAAAAGTTGTTGTCATATAGGACCAGGAGTCCCCTTGTCCCCTGTCCTGCAGCTGGTATTTGAGGGGATGAGAGGCAGCACGGCCTACCTGGACATCTCCCTGGACGCTCTCTCCATCCGGCGCGGCACCTGCAATCGGGGTGAGCCCCTGCCTGCCCCACCTCCTGTGATCTTTCTCCTCAGCTCCCTGCAAAACTACCTCTGGTGGCCAGAATGGAGGCTGCAACCCTTTCTGCCCCACTTCCCGGACCTTTGAAGAAGCCTCACCCTAAGATGAGCTGTGGGAAACCTGGTCTGGAGAGGCCAACCATTCCAGCTGTCTCTGGGCCACCTCTTAGCATAGAAGTGGGGTACGGTGGCACAGGCTTGCAGTCCTAGCACTTGGGAGGCAGAGGCAAGAGGACTGCAAGTCTGAGTCCTGCCTGGAGAATTTAGCAACACTCTGCCTCAGAGGAATGAATGAATGAATGAGGATGCAGCTAGTGCAGAGGCCCTGGGCTCAGTCACCACTATGACACACATCCTCACCAATAGAAAGGAAAAAAGAAAGAGTCCTGCATTCCAAGAACTCCTCCCCCCAAGGGGTGGGCACTCACTGGGTGCAGGCACCAAGCGGGGCCTTCCATATTGGGGCCCCACTGTGCCCAGTTGAAACAAGGGTAAGGAGCAGGTATCAGGGACCCAGCTGGTAGGCAGAGAGCTCCCCTCTGGCACCAAAGCACACCGTGGCTCAGTGTAGGGTGGAGGCTGGGGCTCAGGCTTGGGACTCCAGCCTGGCCATCCCTTCTGGAGCTGCCACCTCTCAGAGGAAACTGTATGGCGCCTTCTGTCCTTCTCCTCAGTCTGCGTGATGCAAACGTGCAGCTTCGACATCCCAGATGACCTCTGTGGCTGGAGCTGGGTCCCCACTGCATCTGGCGCCAAGTGGAGCCAGTGGAAGGGACCCTCGGGGCAGCCTGGTGTGGGACCACAGGACGACTTCTCCAGCCCTGGTAGTGAGTACCTACTGCACTTCCATCCTGTAGTGACCTCCATGCACCCCATAGCAGCGGCCCTGGGCCAGTTCTAGCAAACCCCAGAGCCCTCAGCCTCTCGTAGCTCAGGTTCTGTGGCAGGAAGCAGATGCCAAGCGCCTCTACCCCAGACCCCCTGACTGCCACCTGGCCACTGCTGCTTGGCAAATCCAGTCGTGCCTGTTCCTTCCTTCCACCGCCTGGCACTTTCTGTTCTTCACATAGCCATTCCGTGTCTGCTGTGTGCCAGGTAGTGTTCCGGGCACTTGAGAATCAGTGTGCAAAGCAGACATGGTGGTACACAATGTACTCCCAGCATTCTTCAGTCTGAGGCAGGAGGATTGCTGCAAGTTCAAGGCCAGCCTGAGCTGCATGGCAAGACCCTGTCTCTCAGGCAGATGGACTCACCATGGAAAGGCCCTCAGGTAGTAGCAGGCTGTGGAAGGAGGAGGGGCTTGAGGCGCAGCAAGGACCATCAAGAGGCAAGGGTCTGACTGTCGCTTCTGAGAGGATGCCCAGCTCCCTGTGGCAGCACCCACCTTCTCCCCATTCTGGTTACCCTGGGAGGCTTCAAGATGTCAGCCAGTGGTGACGTGGATGCTGCCCCACACGGGTGCTACCTGACTCCAGGCGGCTTCAGGGATTCCCCAGGGCCAAGTCCCCATCCTCCTGGCCCCATCCCTGCATCCCTCCCACCTCCCAGGCTTTCCCTTCTGCAGGTGGCTTCTACATGCTCCTGGACCCCAAGAATGCCAAGCCAGGGCAGAGATCAGTCCTCCTGAGCCCACCGAGCCACTCCACTGGCTGTCTGACACTGTCTTTCCACTACACCCTGTGGGGCCGGGCTCCAGGCGCAGCCCTCCTGGTCTACGGCTCAGTCTCAGGTCAGAAGAAAGCAGTCACTGGGTTTCTGCTGGGCTGGGTGTATCTTTGAGGATTTGGCTGAGCCTTAGGGTGCTGCAGACTCTGTGTGGAAGTGGCAATGGGGAGGCCACTGGATTAGAGGAAAATAAAGGCACCCTGTGAGTGAGAGAGGAGGATTACTTACATTTGGAGAATATTGTCCAGTTATTCCCTCTGTAATTTAACCCCTGAGGTACAGGTTCACAGTAATTTCTCACCCTTTAAACTTACTTGATGCCTGTAATCCCAGTTCATGGGAGGCTGTAAACAGGCATAGTAAGACCTTGAACAATCTTTAGATCCTTCCCTCCCCACCAAAAAAAATTAAAAAAAAAATATATATATATATATATATATATATTTACTCGAGACCAGGCACAGTGGTTCATACCTATAATCCCAGAACTGGGGAGGCTGAAAACACTACAAGTTCAAAATGGGTAGTGAGACCCTGTACCAAACACATAAAAAAACTTGAACCTAGGGCCTTTACACTGGGCTATATCCCTGGCTCTTTTGTTTATCTTTAATTTTGAGACAGTTCCATTAAGTTGCTAACTTGGCCAGGCTGAGTTCAAACTTATCATCCTCCTGCCTCAGCCTCCTAGAGTGCTAGGATTAGAGGGGTGCCCACCACAGCTGGCTGTATCTCTGATTTTTTTTCTGTTGTAGGCAGCATCCGGAAATACATGCTCTTCTCAGGACAACCCGGCCCTAACTGGCAGCCTGTTTCTGTCAATTACACAGGACAGGGACAGATAGAGGTACAGAGAAAAAAGGATCGGGTCTTGCTCTTGGTAGTTTTCCCAGATGTTGAAGGGAACTGAAGGTCAGGGCACCAGAAGCAGAGCTGAGTCCCCTGATGGGAAGGGCATGTGGGGGGTTCCTGCTCCTCTCTCTACAGTTCAGTGTGGTGGGCGTGCTCGGAGAGACTCCAGAGCCAGCAGTGGCAGTGGATGAAATCAACATTGCTCCCTGTGGGGGTGAGAGTGGAGTCCCCAGAACTAGAGGGGGCAGGGAACAGTGGAGAAGGGGGCCGGAGTTTCTCCAGCCTCTGTCTCACACCCACCAGAGAGCTTTCCCCAGTGCGACTTTGAGGACAGCACGCATCCCTTCTGTGACTGGACCCAAGCATCGGGAGACAGTGGCCAGTGGTCCCGGGGAAGCGAAAACATGTCCACCCATGTTGTAGGCCCCTTTGGAGAGACCCTGTATGGAGGTGAGGAGACTGAGGTGGGAAAGGGCCACCAGGCGCCATAGGAGGAAGGGGAGGAGGATACTGGAGAAGGCACCAGCCTATGGCAGATGCTTGCTGGGAAACTGTCCTGAACTGAGGATACTGACCCAGATTTGATGGAGAACACTTGCGGCGAGGGATTACTAAGCACTGCCCTTGCTGTCCACAGAGCCCAAAGCTTCTAACTCTTCTGTCTCATTGTTAGCCAAGACATTTGCAAGTGAGAGGCTTGGTTTTCCCTTTCTTTCCTGCCGTTTTCAGGTAGAAATCCAAGATGGAGCCAGGTGTGAATTATAGGCCTATGATCCCAGCATTCAGGCAGGCTGAGGCACGAGGACTGCATGTTTGAGCCCAGACTGAGTGACTTAGCGACTTAGCCAGATCCTGTCTTGAAATTAAAAAGTGAAAGAGGACTGGGGAAACAACTCAGTGTGAAGGACCCAGGCCCAGTCTGTAGCAGCTCAAACAAACAATAAGTCCACCATGGGCAGAGAAAAATGCGATAATGCAATGGATGGGACTCTGGGTTGTCTGCTCAGATGCCAGGCAAAAAGTCAGGCATGGCCTGGGCAGAGGCGTCTCATCTCTGCTGTCCCCCTCTTTTGCCAGGCAAGCACTATGTCTACCTAGAGGCGGACAGGTCCTCCCAGGAGGGACAGTCCGCGAGGCTGGTGAGCCGGCCCTTCTGCGCCCCGGGCAACGTCTGTGTGGAGTTCTCCTACCACATGTACGGGCTGGGAGACGGCACTGCGCTCAGGCTTCTGCTGGGGAGCCCTGCGGGCAGCACCCCCACCCCACTGTGGGAGCGCATTGGGTCTCAGAAGCCCAGCTGGCTGAACACCTCTGTCACCGTCCCTTCAGGACACCAGCAGCCCATGCAGGTGACAGTGTGGGTATGGTCTAGAGGGACAGAAGTGACGGGGATTGTTGAGACTCCACCTAGTGGCACTGGGCAGGGACAGGCTCTGAAGGGTTGCTGTGTTGCCAGGGGTTTCTTTTCTGTTCTTTTTGTCTTTTTTTTTTTTTTTTTTTTTTTTTTTTTTGGCAGAACCGGGGATTGGACTCACACCCTTGTGCTTGCCAGGGAAGCACTTATTCTACTGAGCCATCTCCCCGGCCTGTTTTTGTCTTTTTGAGACAGGGTGTCACTATGCACTTCAGGCTGCTCTGGAGTTCACTTTGTAGCCCAGGCCAGTCTCGAACTTGCAATGATCTTCCTGCCTCGGCCTCCCGAGTGCTGGGATCACAGGCGTGCGTTACCATTTTCCCTTCTGTCCCACATTGCTTTCAGCTGATTTTGGAGGCCATCCGGGGGAGCAATGTCGCCTTTGTGGTCGCTGTGGGCTTCGTCTTGATCAGTCAGGGGACTTGTCGAGGTAAGGGAACACTCTAGGCCCCAGAAGAGCCACACCTCATGTGACCTCCTGGGCTCTATGAACTGTGTGAAGTACAAGCCCTCAGCAGGGCCTGCTGGCCCAGGCCTGTAAGCTTAGCTGTGTGGGAGGCTGAGGCAGGAAAATAAAAAATCCAAACCCAGCCTGGGCGATTTAGCAATTTAGTGAGAACCTGTGTCCCCCTCAAAAGAAGTGAATAAAAAGCACAGGGAGTTAGCTCAGTGTCAAGGCTCTGGTTTTAGTCCCCAGTATCAAGAAAAAGAAAAAGTAAATCATCTTGCCAAGAGTTCCAAGCAGCTAATGTATTTTGTATGCCCTGTTCACCTCCCTCTCCCCCTCTCCCCTACACCACTGCACTATCAGGGTGCTTTACTTAAGGAAAGATGTCCTCTGTGTGTGTGTGTGTGTGTGTGTGTGTGTGTGTGATGGAGCATTGAACCCAGGGCCTTTACACTGAATTACATTCCTTTTATTTATTTATGTGTGTGGGGGGGGGGTGGCCAGCTCAGCCCACCAGGCAGCGGGCTGGCTGGCATGTGGTGCTGGGGGATTGAACCGTGGTCCCTGGGCTTCGCTAAGCTTGTTCTAAGTAGGTGCTTTAGACCACTGAGCCACCTCACCAGCCCCTACATTCCTTTTTTGAATTTTTGAAAGAGTCACTAAATTGCCCAAGATGGGCTCACACTTTTGATCCTCCCAGCCTCAGCCTCCCAGAGTGCTGGGATTACAGCCATGCGCCACAACACCCTGCTCACCCATTCCAACTTGATGTGACTGAAGCAGGGGCATGACCTTTACTAAACTCAAGGATTTGTTTATCTTTGCAGCACCAGTGCCAACAACAGTGCCTCCTACCACCTTCCGCATAGAAGAGTCAGTAGTCTCTATAGAAAAACCTACAGTCCCCATAGAAGGACCCACTGTACCTGCTGAGAAACCCGCTGTCCCTGTAGAAAAAACTACTGTCTCACCCAAAGATACCACACTCCACCTGGAAGAGACCACTATTACTGCTGCCAAGATCACTGCCTCCAGAGAAAAACCTACTGTCCCCACAGAAGGACCTACCATCCCCACCAAAGAACCTGCTGTCCCCACACAAAATCCCACCTCCCTTACTGAAAAGACCACGATCCTCACTGAGGAAAACACTGCCCCCACAGAAAAATCTGCCATCCTCACTGGAGAGACCACGACCCCCATCAAAGAGTCCCTCATCTCCACAGAAAAACCCATTGCCCCCACTGAAAAGCCCGAAGCCTGTCCTCCCTCTTGCCCTAGCTCCACTGTCTTGCCCACTGGGCCAAAAGCCATGGCGGTGCCTCTGGAAACACCAAGTGCCTCCATGGCCAACATCGTGCCCAGCACAACTACAAACCCACCCCTCACCACAGGTAGGAGGGGATGGGCATTGGGCACAGGGCTGAGAGAAGGGAAAGGTTCTTGTGGTTGGAATGTTATCACCTCAGTGGAGTAGGAGCCAGGCCTCTTCTGAGCCGGAAATAGCAGGGCAGGAGAGAGTGTCCGTGGGAACCAAACACAGTTGCTCTCCTCCACCCCTGCCTTTTTCATCTGGTACTGGGGATAGAATCCAGGGGCTTCACACTGAGCTACATCCCCAGCCCCTTGTTTATCTTTTATTTTGAGACAGACTGTAAGTCACTGAATTGCCCAGACTAGGCCTCAAATTTGTGATCCTCCTGCCTCAGCCTCTTAGAGTGGGGAGATTCCAGGTGTGAATCCCCCTGTCTGGCCCATCACCCCTTTCCAGTTCCAGACATTTTCTTTCTTGCTTGCTTGCTTGCTTGCTTTGCAGAACTAGGGATTGAACTCAGGCTCTTGCGCTTGCCAGGGAAGCACTTATTCCACTGAGCCATCTCCCCAGCCCCTAGACATTTTCATCACCCCAAAAATCTTCTCCTTCAGCAGTCACTCTATTCCTCCATCTTCTCAGGCCCGGGAGACATCAAATCTCTATAGCCCAGATTTGCCTGTCCTAGACACTTCCTATACACACAAGATGGGGGCCTTTGTGCCAGGCATTGTTACTGAGCCCGTGTCCTTAGAACCATGACCTAATTGTGTAGCTGTGGCAGAACCTGGCTCCTTTTGGTGGTGGAACAATTTGCACCTAATTTTTAGGGAGGAGCTGGAGTCTAGAGCTGGGGCGGAGACAGAGAGGCTCCTGGGAGCCGCTGCGGAGCAGAGGCTTGAGGGAGGCTCTGTCTTCCCCTTCAGTGAGCTGCCCCTCAAATGCCCACTACGAACCCTGTGCGTGCCCGGCGTCCTGTGAGAGCCCCAAGCCCAGTTGCGGACTGTTCTGCCAGCCGGGCTGCATCTGCAATCCTGGCTTCCTGCTCAGTGGCAGCCAGTGCATCAATGCCTCATCCTGTAACTGCATCTACGGCAACAAGAGCTATAAGGTAAGCGAGCTGGGTCACTGCTGCTCCGGAGGGGGCCGAGGCGGAGACCTGGCCCTGCCTCATTTGCTTCCAGGCGAGATGAACTTGGACAGTCCAGAGGGCTGGTTCAAGTGCTTAATCAGGTCTGGCTGTGTAGTTTAGGTGGATTTTGGAGCCAGGTGATTATGTAGCCCAGGTGAATCTTCCTGCCTCAGCTGTCTCAATGCTCCATCACAGGTGCCATGCCTGGCTCATTAATCATGAATCTTGTTAAGCTCTCACTTTGGCCCAATATCATGCAGGCTGTGCTGAAGAGCCAGTCACTCTTGGTCCTGTGCTAAATGTTTCTTCCAGTCTTAATATTTCTGCAATTCAGGGCTGGGAGTACAGCTTCACGGTACAGCACTTATTTCTTGCAGGCAAGGCCCTCGGTTCCATCCCCAAGGAGGCCAGTCTGAATTACAGAGCGAGACCCTGTCTCAATAAACCAAAAGTAGGCTAGGAATATAGCTCAGTGGCACAGTGCCTGCCTGGCAAGCATGAGAT